CGAGTTTTTGCGGTACTAGTACAGGCACACGTGCTGGTTACCGTTTTTGCCTTAGTGTAAGAACTTGAATAATTGACACTCGCGCTAAGACGTCTAAAATTCCCACTCTCGGATTAGGGGGGGGGGGGTGGCCGGAACAATGCGAAAAATGACCACTAGAGCCTCTCCCCCCACCCAGCTTAAGATCGAAATATGCTGGACTATGCCGGTAAAGGCAAGTCCAACGTCCTAGCGCGAGTGCTAGTTATTTGAGTCCTGACGGTAATTTTTTCGTTGGTTGCTTGGTTAGAGTACTTCAAATTTGGGGGTATCTTAGTTATGACTTGTAAGCGCCGAGTCCGGGTTAACTCCGGTACTTGTACAGTACAAATCTTTTCTCTTTGGTGTCTAGTCCGTCTGGGCCGGTTAATACAGGCCTCTTACTAGCAGCCCCGAGCACACATCCCTAGAGAAGGCGGGTGCGTTGGGCAATTTTGCCATCATGTAATGTTAGGACGCCATATTCCGTCATCGGTGGTCATTCAGCGGTGAGAAGCTGGAGGTGGTTGTATTGCCCTGTGCCGTGAGAGGGATGGAGGGCATTAGGACTTATGATAATAAAGTGACTTGCCGGTCTTGGTGGTTGGCGAGGAACGCTGCAGGTTCGCCGTTACCCAGAATTCGGCCACAATGTTGGGTCGAGGGTTGCCAAGTATGATAGTGCTGGGTATGAGAATAATAGCAAGGAATGTTCACCTGTTTCCCGATTAATTCCTTCGTGATGCAGTACCATATCCGAGGGGTTCGCGGGGTGGGTATGTTTATGCTTGAATTGACCTCGCCAGCTCCCGGGGGTGTAAAATCTTTTTATGGTTCCTCCTCCTTTGGAGAACTTTGAGGTGTGAAAATGTGTTTTCGGTGAACACTGACGTTGCATAGTCCCCGGGTCGCATGCGGGAATATATGTTCTGGATGTTTGGGAAGGGGAGTAATGAAGAATGAGTAATGGTGGGGTCTAGCTAGACCTTAATACCATCTTGTATGATACGGTGCTGTATCGCTAGTGAGCACCCCCTCCCCCCCACTCGGGGCCTATCATACTAGAGCATTGGAGTTTGCTGTCCCAAGGGCATTGACATACTGTGAAGTTTTTTCTCGCTGTGCTAGTAAGTGACCTTATTAGCTGATCCAGCTATGTTTGACGGCTGCCTTGTAGGCTGGAGTAAACTACTTGAGACCCCGAGGGAGTTGGAAACTATTTACTAAGTTTGTGCTGTCGTTTGGGACTTTGGGACTTTTAAAATTCATGCAGGTAGAGTTGGACTGATTGGGATACCGGCAGTAATATGAGGTGTTTTATTCTTGTAGGATGGTTGCACCAGTGGAGAGATGAGAAGTAGGAAGATAAAAGGATACATCTTAACATATAGGAATCGACTGTAAGATAATAGGCAAAACCTGCGCAGTGGAGAATCTAAATTACTCGATACATGATATAATCACCAGTCCGCCTATCCTAATCCTACTACTGAACACCTCCGACGGCATCTAACTGACACTTTGACAAGGAAACAATACAATACACAAAGAAAACCCAGATAAAAACATAACCTCAATCATGCAAGTCTACAACGGTTGATCTTAGTTTCAAAGCCCCAGCACCACGTCAAGGTGTCAACCACGCTGGGGTCCCACGAGCCACCCGATCACGAGCGGATGATAGCCATTTTCTTTACAAAAAAACCATAATATCAAACCATGGTCTAAAGTATCACTCCTTCATATCAGGCACCCTCCTCTCGAGGCGTGTTACCAATTGCTCACTGTTGGCAATGGTAAAGATGATACTGCTCGTGGGAGCCGGGACGCTCCCGGTGGGCAGGAGCTCTTGCTGTCATCACAGTCCCAGAGCTCCTCCGCAACTGTGATGCAAAGTCCATGGAGAGGAAAGAAGAGGATTTGGGTGGGGGGGGGGGGGTGGCTGTATTTATAAGAATCCAGGGGGGGAGTCAAGAAAGTTTTTTTTTTTTCTCCATAGAATCCCCGAGTGGGTGGAGGTGAGGTTTAGGTTTTCGAATAGTAGGGTTTATGGAAAGGCTTTTATGATTCTATATTATTATTTTGATACTAGGAATAGGCCCTCGAAGTCTCGGGGGGGGACCCCTAGTAAGAGTAATTGTTGCTTTCCAGTTGCTTGGTATTTTTTTTTTTTGGTGTTTCCCCGTGCATTACCGTACTCATATCCTGGCACGTGTGCTCACGTGACCAGGAATTTTGAAAGATCTTGTTTTATATAATAAGATAATGCCCTTGGAGCATTGTGATTGAGTGATATACCGTAGTGTGATCACATACGTAAGGTGCGATATTCGGAGGGGGTATTACGCGCTGCGAGATTTGGTGCCGGGTAATGAGGGATTTGTTACCGTGGGAGTTTGTGTTGCGGGAAAGGGTATCATAGTGAGTTTGGTTTCCTCACAGACGGCGGATTTTATGATGGGTTGTTGAGTTGAAGGGGTTAGGAGGTTCGTCGTGTATTTAAATTTCGTACCTGAATTGCGCCCTCTTTTCCCCCTCCCCTCTTACACTTCCAATCTTGGGGGGTGGTAACTAAGTTATTATATTATTATGATACCTACTTGGAGATATATATGCCTGGTGGCATGGGTGTATGTGTATAGCGAGTTTTTGGAGTTTACGGTATCCTACCCCGGCTTGCCGGGAGTGAGCAAGTGCCCCCCCGCGCTGTGGTATATCGGCTTGTGTGTAGGTTGGGGGGTATATTCGATCCTTCCCTAGTTTCCTCTGCCCACCCTAATATTTCCCCCTCCCTCTAACCGCGAGTCCGATGCTCAATTAGGGCGCTATGGGCCCATATAATCTCCCCAGCCGTGCAGGGAAATGCTTGCCATATGCTGGGAGATTAGTGCTCGAATAATGTTGTGCGTTATAGTATTGTGGGCAATTGATATCTCACCACGAATTATAATAGTAGGGTGATGAACCGGAAGACATATCTATAGGGCTGTAGGAAGAAGGCCTCGAAAGCGGGATATGATCAACTGGTAGTCCGTCTGACCTGATGTCACCCGTACATCCTAACACCTGCATCCTAGCAAGAATCTTAGCTAGCTGAGCTGCCGAGGCGGAAAGGGAGAGAGTGGGAAAGGCGAGACAGGATCGACAAGTATTTGTGAGTTCCTCACAATGACGCGAGAGGTTCTTGCTAGGTCTGGATTTACCTAGGGGCTTATAGTGCGCAAAAAAAAAAAAAGGATTGAAGCAAAACAGAATTTTCAAAAACCTCAAGGCCTCGAGGCGGTGTGATATTCATGTATCAAAACTCTTTTCATGAATCCTCCTGGGACCCTAGGCCCCACTTTCCCTCCGATAGCCGTAGAGGGAAAAAACTTTCTTGGCATTTCCTCCGGTTCATTATAAATACGACTACCTCCCCACTAAATCCTCTTCTTTCCTCTCCATGGAATTTGCATTACTGTTGCGGAGGAGCTTTGGGACTGTGATGACAGCAAGAGCTCCTGCCCGCCGGGAGCGTCCCGGCTCCCACGAGCAGTATCATCTTTACCATTGCCAACAGTGAGCAATTGGTAACATGCCTCGAGAGGAGGGTGCCTGATATGAAGGAGTGATACTTTAGACCATGGTTTGATATGATGGGTTTTTTTTTAATGGCTATCATCCGTTGGTTAGCGGGTGGCTCGTGGGACCCCAGCGTGGTTGACACCTTGACGTGGTGCTGGGGCTTTGAAACTAAGATCAACCGTTGTAGACCTGTAGGGGCGGGACGAGGTTTCCGGGAGATCTCACCTAGTATCGACATCGCCGACAACCGTGGCATGATGCGCTAAGCTAGGTGATATGTAAGTTTTTCAACCGACATATTCGCACACCTTTGGTGTGCTTGTGAATTTATGAATACCAAGATAGACGATTCCTCTACAGACACGATAGGGTGTTCGTTCATCGCGGTACAAAGTTTTTGCTACACTGGTACTTTGGTAGGGTACTGGTGGTGGGAAAGTGGTAGCACATACCGGTGGAGGGGATGGCATTTCCTGCTGCTGATGCCGTGAGTGCAAACGGGGAATGTTAGGTGGATTTATCGAATGATAGCTGGTTTGGCACATGGGTTGTTAGGCCAAGGAGTACAGTACTCAGTAGAGGGGGCTAAGTGACCGTACCCGGAGACTTTCCCTTCTCTCCCGGGTGGGTATATACCTGCCTAGTTGGTCCCTTGTCCCCAACTACTTCCCAGAAGATAATGGCACTAAGGTGAATATATATAGTGGAATATAAAGCTAGAAATCTAGACTATTCATCGGTGTAACTTAAGTCAGAATTGGAAATACGGCATGCAGCTCCTATGCTGTGGGAATGGAAAAAAGAAAGGTCAAAAGTTTTGCCAGGGGACTAACAATCTATGATGATTACCATAACTTGGGAGGAAAAACTTAGGGGCTGTTTGGCGCAAGCGGTTTCTTCAATCCAGAATGTGTTTTGGGTCGGTGGGTACAGTTAGAGAGAACTAAGTTGATAGTTGTTAATGCATGTTCAAGGGCATATTAATCCAATCGTTTAACATGGCAACTGTTCCAAAAACACATTTTGAATCGATGAACTGCTTGGCCAAACAGCCCCTTAATTTATCGGTGGCGTAGCAAATGGGCAATGGTTGCTGGATTCCCGTAACAGGGCAGGGCTAGGGCTGGGGGACCGCGCTGCTTTCATTATGATACCCTGGCGACAAGTGGGCTGTGCCAGTAAGGCCTTTTGTATGCCATACCACGAGGTCCACGTACGTTTTTGAGCCAGAATCAATAAACATAATAATTATTATGAAATAAAATAAAATAAAATAAAAGTGGGCTGTGCCAGCTACGGTATGATCCAGGTGACTTGGCGGCCGGGGTACAACAGCCGAGCACAATGTGAGGTGTTGATAACTAGAGTAGAGAATGTAGAAACAATATTATTACAGGG